CACAGGCGAGCCATGAAGCAGTTTCGCCTGGTGAGGAGACAACACCAGCTGCTGAGGGAGCCACCGCTGCGTCGTCCTTTTAATGTTGATGGAAACGGTTGCTATTAAAAGCAGTTGGTTTCACGGATCTACAGCTCAGAAGAAACGCACGCCCCCAAAAACTGACGGCTGCTACGACGGACCCGCTAATTCTCAAGGCGGCTACTGGGAGACATCTAGGATCCTCGTTCTCATTCCTTCCCTTACCGCCTTTAAAAAACTTTAACCAGAAATAATCAGGTTAGAAAGTTCCAAACCCGTTCTCCCCCCACCCCATGAGGCTTCTAATTTTTAGGGCACGATCGTGCAGAATCAGGGATTTTCATCGTATGAGGTGGCAGATAAAGAATCCATGAGGCCGGAATAATGCCCTGTTTTGTCCAACTGTGAAGTGACCCTGAAACTTAACAGAAAGCAGAAGCAACAGTGTCTTTCAGGAAAACGGTGCGGCCCTGGCCAGTGTGGCTCCGCTGGTGGGGGCGTCATCCCGCGCACTGACGGGTCTCGGGTTCGATTCCAGCCCAGGGCACGTACCTGGGTTTGCAGGTTGGAGGCAACCAACTGATGTGTCTCTCTCACATTCAATGTTTCTCTCTCTCTCTCTCTCTCTCTCTCTGCCCCCCTCCCCGCCCCTCCACTCTCTCTAAAAAGCAATGGGAAAATATCCTCGGGTGAGGATTAAAAAAGAACATTCTCTCAAAATTCTTCATCTGCTCATTTGCGTTTAAAAGCCCATTTAGAGGTTTTCTTCCAGTTTCTTGGAATTACGAATCTTGCCTTTTTTGCAGGCGGTGACGACAGTCACTGGAGAACTTTTTTTTTTACATTGTTTTTTAAAACTGTTTTAAAGTATGACAGTATCTCCTTTTCTCCCCCATTAACCTCCCCCCCCCAGAATAATAACTTTTATACAAACTGTTTATAAAAGGAAACGCTCCTACACACTTTGTGCCGAAACCTGAAATGACGGTTACCGGCCTCGGCCGCTTTCTGTTTTCTAGTCGCGGATATTCTTGTCGCCCGTCTCGGTTGCGCCGTGGGGGGCGCGTGTCCAAGACAAAAATACTGAAAATCGGCTCGGGGGACACTCTCTTCCCGTGAAACCGGCATTCATTTTGTTCATTTCACAAGGACATTATCACTGATGCTCCGTCGTGTGATTTTGGGGTTTTTATGAAGCAGACCCCCGCCCAGTCTCTACAAAGGACAACCAGGCCAGGTGTCTGAAATCCCCGCCGTTTCCGATCCAGGGGAGCGCTCGGCCACGAACACGTGCCCTGCGGTGGGACTTGGGCGTCAAGTGACAAAAGATTTATTTTTTCTTCTCGACAATCTCTACGTGGACTCGTAGAATTTATTTACATTCGCCGCACGGTCCCCGCGCTGGGCGTGCACAGTATTGGTGAACGGCAGAGCTGCTGCTCTCTGGCCTCTGACTTGCTGGGCAGGTGCTGTGTCTGCCCGGCGTCCGGGCTCAGGCCCGCGGGAGGGACCTGCGAGGTGACCTGGCCGACGGGACCCTGGTGGGAAGAGGTCCCGTCGACGAGCAAGACCTGCCTTCCCTGTCCCTCCCAGGGTGGTCACGGGCCCACGAGGAGTTCACGTCCACTTGGGAAAGGGGCTGGGAATGGATTCCCTTCGCCGCCGCCCGCGGCTACGGAAGATGGTGCTTGGGGAGCACATGGGAGGCGGGGGGATGTTTTTTAACGTCCCAATTAAACAAACCACCCACCCGATCGGCCTGCCCTCGCTCACGGGAAGGCCGTCTGGTGCAGGAGACGCTGCCCGCGCCCCGGGGCCCCTTCTCTCCTGGCGTCCACGGTTCACGGGATCCTCCTCCTTGTTCACAAGCGGCTGCAACAGTGGCTGCTTCTAGGGGCGTTTACTTATGTTTTTCGCTGGAACGGTAACTATTCCTGTAACGACTGCTTTAAGACCAGCCTTGATTCACAATTGTCCACGTCGTTTCTTTCTCTTTGGTGCCATGACGACTCTGCTGCCTCCCTTTCCGTTGACCTCAGGCTCTGAGAGGCGGGAAAGCTACGAGTAACATCGCAGCATTTAGAGCCACACTGAGCATTCAGGGTCATTTTGTTACCACGGCGATGAGACGCCATGGGACCTTAACTCGCCATCAGGTTGCCTGTGGCCAAACCGGCTTCACTGTATGTCATGTCGCCAGTGCCACACCCTGTCCACGGCCACGTTCAGCGAGGACCTGCTGTCCGTCTGCGGCTTCTGCGGGCTCAGCTTTGCTTCCTGCCCCCGACCAAGGGAATGATCGCCCTGTCGCCCAAGGAATCTTCCGTCCAAAACCAGCCCAACGGCTCGGCTATAAAGAGGGACCCACGCGAACCCCACAGGGTACAGCGAACCCCACAGGGTACAGTAAAGGGCCCCGCACCGGGCTCCCCTCTGAGGAGGAACAGAACACTTTATATATTAATCTGGAAAAATAACATCATTCATTTGCACCCCCCAACCCCTCCCCGGCTCGTATTTAAAAAATTTCTGTTTTCAATTTCTGTTTCCTGTGCCATCTATCCCGGAACAAAGACCCACATGGCATTTCCGAACGCGCCGTGTGGTCACACCCCAGGACTCAGACTCTGCGGCCCTGTCTCCTTGGTAACGGCACCGATGTGACATAACAATGAGAGTCCCTCACGATTCAGAGACCAGAGGTTCTGACCGCCACACTTTCCTCTGGACTTCAGGAGCTGGGATGGAGGGAACTGTCAACCGGAGGAAACGTCCAGAAACTTCATCCCGAACGTCGGCGGGAAGAGGACAATCGCTCGAGGTAAAAATGGGGGGAGAGTGACCGAGGACAGACCAGCGGGAAAGGCGGCACCGGATTCCATCTCCCGGACGCGCTGCCCGCCGTCCTGTGGGACCCCTGAGCCCTGACAACGAAAGTGTCCATCCATCGCTAGTGACAGGACATCGGGCGGGACATGCAAGTGTCAGTCACCCTGCAGTGAAGACCTGGGGGCGGGGGCGGGGGACAGAAGACCTTTTCCTCGTCGGAGAATACAATACCGCCCACGCGCCTTGGCCGTGCACCTCGCCGAGCGCTTGGGAGCAGGAAGACAGAAACAACTCCTCCGTGTTCATCGAAGGCGAGAGAAGTCCGTCACCCTCTGCTGTCACTGCTGAAGAACCTGGTCAAGCTGTGAAGCGGAGGAAGATCTCTCGGCCGCCCGAACGGTTCCCTCCTTTATTCGGGGAGAAAAGCGTCTTCGCGATCCTGAACGACCGGCTCGCCCTGCAGAGGGAGCC